CCCTCTTTTGTGCTAAGAAATCTTTTAATTTATTTACATTTCCTCATTTCACTTAAAAGCTATCCATAAGGCAGCTTGTAGCCCATCTCTCTCCACCACGGGGTCTAGGAGTGATCTGCTGGGAACTGGTCCTTTGGGGTGAGGTGCAACCATGATTAGCCCCAGGGAAAGGGTATGTGTGCGTATATGTAGTAAGGGGGTTGCAAGTTCACTCTTTTTCATGACAAATTTAGGGATTTATATTCCCAGGTGCCCTGTCCCTCCACCCAGACCAGGGTTCCCCAGGCTCCTTTCCCACTGGCACACGTTTCCACCTCAGACAGTGCACTCACTGAATGCACTTCTGAGAGCTGGGAATGACAGGGCGCTAAGACCCTAGAGAGAGGTAGCTATCTCTGTCTGAAATTCCAGCCACGTTCTAGCATGGCTGCTGGTCAGAAATGTTAGTTTTTCTGTGTCACTCTGTACCCGAGGTACAGGGCAGCAGAAGAGCTCTGGCAGGGACCTGGCTTCCAGTCCCAGTTCGGCCACTGTCTGCATGGCGTTGGGCATGCTGCCTCCCCTTTTGGAGCTGCAGTTCCTTCTTATGGAACACAGGCCCTTGTTTCCTCTCCCTGCCTCCCGAGGGTCCTGAGAACACCTAATCCAAGAGGTAGGTAAGGGCTTGGAGCAGTATTAAGGCCAGGTGGAGGTTATCGCTGCGATCAGAGAACATGGGGCATCAGCCAGCAAGCATTTTCAGAAGGTCCTAGGCAGCTCAACCAAGACAAACACAGGCTTGAGGAAGAACGGGAGCATGAACATGAGGAAGCTGGGCATGCTTTCCAGAGGGAGCAATGCCCTCTAAGCCCCAAGATGGGTACCTAATGATAATAGCTGACAGTCCCTAGATGCTTATTAAGTGCCTGGCAATGTTCTAAATAAGCTATACAGAGCTCAGAACATGTACAAGTCTATGAGGTAAGTATTATTATCATTTCTACCTTCCAGATGAGAAAACTGAGTCACAGATTAAAGTAACTTGCCCAAGGTCCCTCAGGTTTTACAATTTAGCTCCAAGCCTGTGCTCTTCGCCACTAAACTCTACTGCCTCATATTTCCTGCTGTCAATCAGCTCTTGACAGTCTTCACCTGTAAGTTCTGAGCTTTGTGCCCTGATGTCAAGTGTCCCAGGACACCAGAAGTATAGACTCTAATGATCACTTATGTCAACTGATGTGGGTTCTCATCCTAGTTCTTCTACTGATTTGCTGAGTAACTTTGAACAAGTTCTAGGGCTTGATTTTCTTAGCTGGAATACTTTTGGTTTCATATGATCTTAACTTAGGGTTATCTAGAAGTGAGGCAACAATTATGATAGTAATATCCAACATGTACTGATTGCTTACTATGTGTGAACGGTGTTTAGCAGTTTACATGATCACCTTTAACTTTCATAATAACCCAATGAGATAGGCACCATAATTGAACCTATTTTACAGATGAGAAAACAGATGTGAACAGAGATCCCAGCCAACTCCAGAGTAGTTTCGAGTTGGGGTTTGAACCCAGGCAGGGGGACTCAGACCCTTGCTTCCGATCCCTCTGTCACAGTGCCATGCTAACTGCCGTCTTCATGGCGCTACCACCCTACCTCAGGAGAAGATCACAGAGCCCCATTAAGGTTCTTTTTCAAGGATTATTAACCCTAATAATGGAAGTTAACAAAACTGCTCAAATTTGGGAGAAAGAGCAGAGGCTAATGAGAGAAAAAAATTAAGCCAAAGATCTGATAAAGAAATTACACAAATGTGCAAATGAGACCTTGTGAGGCAGCCAGGTCCAGAGGCATTAGTGACCTTTTACAAATGAGGCACTAAGGATCTGAGAGCCAGAACTTAAATCCAAGCCACCGAGTCCCTGGCCAGTGTCACTGAGGGTGTCATTGAGCCAGTGCTACTGCACAGTTCCTCTCCAGCTCCTGTGACACGGCACTTTCTGTACATCGTTCCTTGGGTCCTGCTAGCGTCGGGTACAGTCCAGGTCTCTCGGGTTTTGAAGGCAGGTCTCACACTTGCCTGTTACATGGCCAGAAGATGTCTGTGCTAAACACAGACTCTGCACGGAGTTGGTACAAGAAAGTTTTACAGAGGCACCACCTAGGATTTAAAAATTAAATACACAGATGGTTGTACTGGGTTTCTCATGCTTCACATCTCCCTATTTGACACGGGAACAAATTGACAAGTTTACATTTAGCCTCCTACCGCAGCTAGGAACGATGGCATTGAAAGGAGAGTTGAGAGACTGGATTCTGATTTTACTTCTTCCCCTCACAAGTGACCCTGGATGGGCCCGCCCCTACATGCTATAAGGTCTCAGTCTTCTCATCTGAAAAGTGGATCTAATTCAGCATCTATGCTATCTTCTTCATCGGGTCAAACAAGACGGTTGATGGGGTGGTACCATGGAAAGTACGGCATGATGAATAAACAGGAGATCAGGGCTCAGGCGCTGACTTAAGTGTGCCACAGCCTGAGCTCACTGTGACTTAGTATCTTGCTCCATGCTCACGACAACTTTAGACACAGGGCTGGACAGCTGCATTTTGAGGTGAGAGAGCTGAAACTTGGAGGAGTCAAGCAACCTGCCTAAGGCCAGGAGAAAGTAGAACTGGAGCCTGTGCTGAGGAATGGCTGGCTCCAGGGCCTTGACCGCCAGCCCACCTCCTCCGAGGGGTGATGGTGTATTGCAGGATGCCATCCCCATGCTTTCAGGAGCCCCTGCACTGGTGTCAGTTGGACCCTTGTTCAGATGTGCCGACTGAAAATGACCTGCCTCATCAATCTCTTAGCAAGCCCCGTCTCCTTTCTACACCAGCAAGTCAGCTGATGCTTTCCTTCTTCTTCCACTGTGTATGAAGACATATTAAGACGGCTTGGATAAGGAGATTATAATTTGTAATTAAATATTAACCTTTCTGACAGTATTAAAATTAAACCACTCAGAATTCTTCATCCCTAATCAGGTGGTTCCTGCCCGTAACTGTATCTTCCCTAATAGTCTTGCTAGTTTATGGCTCTTTCCAGAGTGCTAATTGTTTCAATCGCTGCCAACCTGATGAATTGTCTTAAAAATGCTATTTCAGTTGCAGCATATTAGCATGCCATGTGCTGCTTCTTGCCTACTGCCTGTCAAGTGGGTCTGCTCTGGGCTTGGCTGAGGCAGAGCATAGCTACTGGCAGAGCCAGGGAGGCTTCGGAGCCTTTGGCCAGTTATTAGGCAGAAGGGGGCCGGGGATGTGGCTCAGGAGGACACAGCCTGAGTGACCTATGTTGTTTCTGTGGCTGCCAGGCCCTCAGGGAGGGGGCAAAGGGGCAGCGAGGCCAGGAGCAGGATGGAAGGTGGCTAGGACTCTGCTGCTGGGGCAGTTCTGGCTGACAGAGGCCTGAGTAATTCCTCACTGCCTCAGCTGCGGAGGCCTTCCACAGAAATTAGCCAAGGGCATCTGGGGTCACGGGCAACCTCAGGTGGTGGGCAGGGGTACCTTAGCCTCCACAGGGGAAGGCTGGTGGAATAATGTTTGGCTTTAGTTGAAATGTTTCTGCAATCTTCAAGGATGGCTCTGACATTTCACTCTGCAGGAAAATGCTTCCAGTCACCCCAGAAAGTCAAATTAAGTAGGCCTTGAGAGCCTGAGCCTGAAAAAATATGGGATAGGGACAGGTCTCCCTTGTGGTGAGTCCAAAGGCTCCGAAGTCATGGGGAAAAGGGGACTGTGGCCACTCCGCAGCTTAGGGCCTAAGAAATCATGTTTAAAAGCTCATATACAGGGGCACGTGGGTGGCTCAGTCAGTTAAGTGTCTGCCTTCGGCTCAGGTCATGATCCCAGGGTCCTGGGATTGAGCCCCTCATCGGGCTTCCTGCTCAGTGGGGAGCCTGCTTCTCCCTCTCCCACTCCCCCTGCTTGTGTTCCCTCTCTTGCTGTGTCTCTCTCTGTCAAATAAATAAAATC